AGATTTTATTTAAACATAACTTAAAAATAAAAAAAATATTTAAAAAATAAACAATAAAAAATATTAATCATAATAAATAAAATTGTGTGGTCTCATCTGTTATGAGTTATTAATATTAAAAAATTTTATATTATTAATTATTATAAAAGAACAAAAGGTTTAATTTTGAGGGTAGGGATAAGTTTTATAAAAAATTCTAAATGCTAATAATGAGTAAAATTTTCATTAAATCCAACCCCTCTCAAGATATAACATGATCTCTCTCAACTTTCAACCACCAAAATTTAACTTCATCAATACCCCTTACAAGCTATCAAACCAAATTTCATTTATTAATCATTACCCTATCCTGATATTAAACAAAATAGATGCCAACAAACAAACACACACACACACAGAATTTTTTCTGTTTTTGGATTCAGATCTCAAAACATGACATTGCAAAAAATTTTAAGGGAAGTAAAATTTGACATTATTCGAACACTTCCCTTTATTATATATACATAACAGCTGGAAAAGTAAAAAGACAAAGAAAAAAAGTAACAGTGAAACCATGGTTCTGAGGAATACATCTATATGTTTAGCCTGAAATGACAATGAAGTATTTTTAAAAATTATGTTCCTTGTATTTTTTTCTATGTATTATCTTCCCTCTATACTATATTTAACATATGACACATGGATTTTCACACATCAGTAGCTTTCAGTGTGAGTATGATTACTGGTGACAAGGTCACCATGCATTACAAAAAAGGGACTTTTGAACTTTATAAAACTTCTAACTACCAACCAAGTATCATGTATTGCTCAGCCAAGATATGTGAAACAATCTGTTCATTAATTGTTATTGTTATAGATATGAATGTGAGGCAATATATAAAATTTTTGGTACACTGAGCTTGGATTCACAAACACTTTGTATCATAAGTTTTGCAGAAATTCATCATAAGTTGCCTGATGCAAAAAGTCTTGTATTATCAAAGCACATCATATATAATTCCTACACGCACTCTAGTTTGTATAATAAAAATTCCACTTACTTAAGCCTGTAAATGATGTGAAACATAAGCTATGATATTGTAAAAATATCATAACTACCACAATATTTAAGACCTCTCATAAGTCTATGTACCAGTGACTATTTGATTCTATTAATAGATAATTGAGTCAAATTGTTTCTTCTAAACTTTCCTGATTAAAACCTTTATCAAATGACATTATCAAATGACAAAAATTGATAGAATTCTTCAGAGTGGAATTAAAACTGTTTATAGAATGTTGTCTGAAAAAAATCCGATTCATTATATTTCATGTTAGCTTTTTCGTAAAAAAATGAAAAGCTATTAGTTTGTCAATTTCTTTCAATATTTCTATTAATATAATTACAAGTATCAATTTTGGATAGATTTTGTCCTATACCTAGATTGGCTACATTTTTAGGTATCATTTATTGCACATATAAATAATTAATCTAAAAGTAACCAATTCNACATATTAGTACACTTACTAACCGGCAGGTGGCTTTAAAATGCCTTGTGTCTATTTATGCACCTAGTAGCGAAGAAAACAAACAAAAAAAAAGGAAGACAGTCTTGAAAATACATAACAATATTTCATAAAAGTTAAAATGTATGGTTTTTGGAATTTGCTGTTTGCCATTAAATTTTTGCCTTCCTATTTTTATCTATGACATACACACCCAATCCAATAAGAAGGATAACAGTGCTGAGTGAACAGTATTGGTTGTACTGAAATCTTGTCAGTTTACCTATACAGTAATACCCCGGACTTACGCGATAGGTGGGACCAAGCGATAATCGCGTAAGTCGGGGTATAATTTCGCAATTTGTGTAAAATCCAAGTCGAATGCATGTAAGCTAATAAATGTTCTCGTTAATCTTATCTCGTCTTTTGATTCGTTCACAGTTACAAGAAATGAAAAGCTATTAGTTTGTCAATTTCTTTCAATATTTCTATTAATATAATTACAAGTATCAATTTTGGATAGATTTTGTCCTATACCTAGATTGGCTACATTTTTAGGTATCATTTATTGCACATATAAATAATTAATCTAAAAGTAACCAATTCCTATCCATTTTAATTCTAAAGAAATAAATGGCTACCTTTCCTCAGACCACAAATTAAGTCCCATGCTCAGCAAGAAAATTCTTAAAGAAACATCTTCCTAGTAACTCTATTAAAACAGAAGTGGTCACTAGTGATGTCATAAGACACATTCTCATTACCAATTTCTTCTGTTTTTTTGTAAGTGCTTCGACATGTTTTGTGAATATGAAATATATAATATCATTAGTTTCTTGTAACTTATCATATTGGAGAGATACTTTATTGTATCGTACGAGATGTTCGTGAATCCAGGCCCTGGTTCTTCTGACATCTTAGTACAGTCGACCCCTTATAATTATGGTCCCTATAATTACGATTCCTATAAAACTACGAAAAAATTGTGACCGGTATCCATAAAAAACAGTAAAAATTCCCTATAATTACCTCAAACGTCATCGGGCAGCCGAACTACTTTCCCGCCGTCCGTAGCGCCACGCTACGGAGAGATTTCTATCGTCTGGACAGTATTATATAAATTATATATAAATTAGGTACTGTACATATAATTATATATTAATTATATATAAATTAGGTACTGTATATATAATTATATATTAACTTAATTTATTGTAACTTTATTATAATTAAATATATATTTTTCACCGTCTAGCGTCACGCTACGGCGAGTTAGGCGACCTATCGTCTGTCCAGTACTGTAATTTTATACATTTCTTGTGAAAGAAACATTTCTTATTTAACGGCCATAAAAATTATTTATATTAAGGATGTCTCCAAAGGTCAACGAAGTTTTCGCAGAA